AGCCTTTATTCTTTGTCTTTAAAATGCCTTAAAGTAAATTATTAATTGTAAAAATAAAATAAAATGTAGGATTTGCCAATTTTTAATAAAATAAATAAAATCTTAAAAAAAAAATCATTCAAAATAAAAACTCTTACCTTGCCTATCATCAACTTTGAGCTTGATCATCTTCTCCCACTCCCAATCTCAATCTATCTTTCATGCTTCCCGCTCTCTCGTGATAGTTTAGACCTTTCCAAAGCAGGTCAAAAGTTGGTAAAATGGAGAACTTTATAAAGATAAGATAGTTTAGACTTTTTAAAAGTTGGCTACAAGATGTATAATTTTAGCGATTGAATAATTTTTTATTTTTAATCAACATGATTGGAAGATCAACTGAAATTTTTATGTGCTAGGTTTAAGTAACTTTTTCTATAATACAAAAGAATGTTAATAAATGTGGACATAACTTCTAGAGTTTAAGTTGAGTAATTAAAAAAAAAAATTGCCTCTTATAAACTACTAGTAAAAATGCGTGCAGATGGTGCGTGTTAATAAAAATTTTAAAAATAAAAAATGATATCATAAAATTTAAAATTAAGTTAAGACATGGTATATCAATGATATTATCTATCAAAAAAAGAATATATGAAACCATTTTGTGAAACCCAAGCACTACTATATCAACATCCAAACAGGCGATCCCATTCAATTATTTGCATAAACCAAACTGTACAACTTATTAATTGTGGCAAGACAACAAAACATCATAAATGAATTTTGAACTTCTACTGTAATCTATCTGATTAATGTTGGAATTGAGGAGATCAAATGTATTCTCTCCGTTGTACGTGATAGAGAAATCCATTTTCGTCTTTCTTTTCTTCGTATATTTTGGCATAACAATATCTGGAAAGGTCACAAAAAACAAAAGAAAACAAAAAGACATTGATACATTTCTGCTAAAACAAACTTCAATTTTTTGATAAAAGAAGACAAAAACCTGTTGGTGGAAGCACATTATTGACAAATATAAAAATGGCCTTCTTTGCACTCAGTTTGATTCTTTTACGAATGACGTAAACAAACTAGCCTACTATCAGGTCTGCCGGAACCAAATATCTACATATCCAATAAGCAATATTGTTTGGTTAAATTATCCTATTTCAAAGAAAAAAATAATTAGGATGGGTTGGATTTATGGAGATATTAATTCTATCCAAGGGTTCCTCATATATCATCGTAAATCTAACAGTGGGAAAACTAATCCTCATGCAAATTCCATCATGATATCCTAACACAATTTTTTTAATTTCAAATTAGAAACTAACCAATACAATGAGAATAATTATCATAGATACATATTGGAGGCTTTAACCTATTCCAATAGAATTACAAGGATTTTAGCAAGGGAGTTTGACTGATATGAATGGTTTGATGCATCACAAGAAAAAAAAAAAGGAAAAAGCATTGCTAGATTTGAATTTATACATTCCCAAGAGAGGATAAACCTCAATTTTGTGGTATTTGATAAACTGAGTAGAAGCTAACAACATATAACATATTTAAGGACATGCAAATAGAAAATATCTACGGTCTTCTGTTATAGTTGTACAAGATTATGGATAGAACAATCATGCCATTTAACAACTTTTGTTTCCATAAGAATATCTGCATGTTGTACTATGCTACACAACATTTCTACAATTTTGTAAATAATTGATGTGTGAATTAAAATAAAAAACAGTGAAAGGATTTGATTGGTGGAGAAGATTATTCCCAATAAAAATAAACTTTAGTCAGTACAACAAGTACTTCTTCTTGTCAATGTTTGTTATATCACTTCTCTCGACCTTCTCCAAAATTACCTTTAAGAAATAAACATAATTCAGTACAACCACCAAATAATCATGTAGATTAGAAACCATAAACCCTTAGAAAATACAACCAAACAATGCAAGCAACTGCCTCATTAAATAGAAAAGAATCGAGTCAATCATGCCTCATAATCCAATCAACATACTAAAGTAACAGTTGACCACAAATGCAAAATGATGCCTGTTAACAACAAAAAATAGATATAATCACTTATTCACTTTTTAAAATAGATATTTGTTTCCTTCATGGTTTCCAAGATTATTCTGTTCATGTCAAACACAATCAATTAATAAAAATAATAATAAACCTCAAATGAATTATAATGAATGGTGATGGCTTTCAATACATATAATTACTTCTAAAGAAATAGATAGAAGTTTTCTTCTTCTAAACAAAGAATATATCAATAACATCAACAGATGAATGCTAATATATATATATATATAAACCTCACATAGGAATTAACATCAAATATAAATGTCATGACATGTATGTTTAGGACAAATTTTGCACTTATTCATAACCTGGAATTACTATTTAACACTCTGAAATAAAGTCAACACTATTGTCATGCAGATGGTATAGAGCTTTTCACAAGTTCCCAGCACAAATCAAAATTATAATACATAAAATGTTTGGAAAGGGAAAGCAGATAAAAACTATAACCAAATGAAGCCAAAAATTTTAATGAATAACGTAATTTTTCATACAACTTTGGAAGCTGTTTCATTATAGATTTAGCATACTATAGAAGATGAAAAGAAAATAAAAAACATTAGCGATTGATTTCCAAATGTAGGGGAATATTGTTGATGGTTTCCAACTTAAACAAATTTCTATAAAAGATAGAATAAGAAAACATTTCATCGTCCATCACATTGGCCATATCACCCTTGTCTGCATCCTCACCTCTATTAAAAGACATGGCACCTCACAGATGTAAGCACAAAATATAACAAAAAGAAGAAACAATGGGCCTCTTTTTTTATTGTTTATTTCCACAAACCTTGCACGACGACAATAATCAAAATAAGAAAAAAACTAAATGGGTACAGGAGTTGTGGAAAAATTGACATCAACAGCTATTAAAATAATAAGCAGCAAGATTCTGGACACCAATTAGAGTAAACCTTTTTGCAATATTAGGAATTCAATGAGAAAACGTAAATAAAATGGAAATAATCTAAATAATCTAGAAGGGAAAAAGTTTATTGATTCAGTAAGCAACCGTAAACAGATCACAAATTTCAAAAACCTTTCAAAAATGAAGTTGCAGAAGAAAACAAAATAAACTTCATAAATTTCCATTACAATTCGTCTAAAAACCAACTTCGCAATCCTCGGTGCACCAATATTCATCCACCATCACAATAATCCAAAAAAAACTAACAAAATAGCAGAAAAAGAAGTCTAATGCAAAATATCCCCATAATTTTTTTTTAAAAAAAAACCCAGTTACAATTTTTTTATTTAAAAAGCAATATGTGTATGCTATAAACTATAAAAATAATAAACATCAAGTTACATAAATCAGCTTGATTTATTCAGTAGAAGAACGGGAAGCAATTTCCAAGTGGTAATAACAGATGTCGATGTACAGATGAATCCTAGTTTGAAAGGAACAACTCTTGGACGAGATCTTATCGCTACTCGATTACAAATGAGGAAGTAAAGATGTGCAAATATAGACCTTTCCCGCCAGCAAAAATTCGGAGAATGGAGACCAACTTCGAGCTCACGTAAGAGGGAGGACTGTTGGACCATGGCTGTTGTATTCGCACGAAAAGCGCCTCATATGTAGGAAATAGGAATAGTTTTTAATTTTAGAAATCTTTCGGCTACTGAAAATGAAACGCTTTACATAGAACCGGCTGCTGGAAAGTGAAACGCTCCGAAGGGTGAAGTGTTTAAGACTCGACTGAAGAAATCAAAGGGTTAACTGTGAAGTGTTTAAATTTTTTTTTTTAAACAAACCATTCAACTATTTAACCAAGTGAAACTTCTCGAACCCAAATGTAAGGGAATATGAAACATCTAAAATCAATGTTGGAGATTAATTTTAAGTTTATAAATATATGATCAGGATTACTTATGGGAAAAATCACAAGTCACACTTATATAGTAGTGTAGATGTAGTAAAATTGTAAAAGAATATCACAGATAACTATTGTTAATTTGTTTTTAAAACTGTGATTGGAAATGTATGCTATATGGTTTAAGTGTTGGACAACAAATGAAAATGATAATATAGATGTGCTAAAAAGTAGAAGGGATTGAGTGAGAAATGATTATATTAGAGGGATTGTAGAAGTAGCACTATTTGAAAATAAGCTACTTGAAAGTAAACTAGAGGATAGTCAGATGTACCAGTAAGTCAAATTTGTAGAATTATTGCAGTAAGAATTATGAAGCTAAGAGACTAACAAAAAATAACATTTCTAGAAATTATGCAAGAGACTTAACACAATTCTAATAGTAAAAGTGAATGAGATAAGATTCATAAGTCCAACCACAAGGAATCTAGGATAAGGTTATTGATTATGTTTATGTGCTTTGGTTATGTAGCTGCGTAATTGTTAACATCTCTCTATGCTCTTATATAATAGGACCAAGATTTTAAAAAACATTACTTCAACTAAAATTATGATTTTAAATCATGATTTTTTTATCATTCATTTTCATATACATACAAATATACAATTGAATGCAATATAACATGTATACTTTTTTTACTAATTATAGATGCTAGCATGCATGCATGCGAGTCAATGAATGAATGTATGCTTGACAAGCATGCATGCTTGTCTGTCCATGTAAACATGTATTTGTGTGCATTCACTTGTTTATCAATATGCTTATAAGCACATTTAGCTATGTATGGATAATTGTATGTGGACCTGCATGCCTACCTTTCTCTATTTACTTTTTTGCATGCATATGATCATAATCATGGATTCATTATTATCCTTATACCAATGATTTGTGGTCGGACAAGTTTGGTACATATTTTTGCCACTCTTTCTGTATGAATTTATATCTGTATCTGCATATTTGTTTTATTGCATTTCTAAGCACATGAAAACACGTTCTTGTGTGTGTGTATATATATGCATATATGTATGAAATTTCTTTCTGAATATCAGATGTATCAAGGGTGAGCCTGCTATTGAGGAGTACTTTGAGATGGCTGTACAAGCAGAAGCATACAGGGATCATATATCAGAGGCAGTAATGCAGTCGCAGTCCGCACACCATTTTCTTTCACCTGGCAAAGTGGTGGTTGTTAAATCGCAATCTGTGAGTTTTTCCCTCAGAATTACTGTTGCTTGTCGATTATTGTACTTTTACATCTTCGTATCTTTATTGGTGCTATGGGCAATGTTGCAATGCTTAAGTGACATTGACAATCTTTTAACCATTCGCAGATTCAAATATCTATGTTTCTCAACTCATATTAAACGATCTATTAGATGATAATAAGATGCCTAGTTTATTAGGATACAAAACATACCAAATGGAATGTTTTCTTGTTGTAAATTATCTGATGGTTGAATAACAAATTATTAGGAGAAATCAGCGATTGACATGGTAGGTAGTTGACCTACCGCCCAAAATGGAATGATATGGCCTTTGTATGTATTCCAAGGAGCATAACTAACGCTATTTAAATAATATAATGAAATTATCGTTAAAGTTTTTGGACTATGTTTCCAATCTTATTTGCCAGGAGAGGTAGGAATTAGAAAAAAAAAAAATCTTTTATCACTTTCCAAGATTCATCAGGCTTCAAACTAGGCATTGAAAATGAGTGTTCATGTTGTTTTTCTTTTTCTATCGAAGGACTTTTCATTCTATGTTATCATGTTATCTTTAATTTTGTTTTGTGTTTTTAATTTTTTTTTTTTGCAATTCTTTATAATTTCCTCATGTATTACTTATATTATTAGTTGGTTATAAAATTATGCTTTTAGAAAAGAAATTGTGAAAGTGATAGGAAGGAAAGGAAATGGAGGAAGAAATGTCAAATTGTCAACAAGTTGTGATTAGCCACTGACAGTTCTCAATTATTCTTTTTTGTGGGTCGTGTAACATATGTATTCATTAGTTAGACAAAAAATAATGAATTGTGTTTTTTAAACTACTTTTTAATTCCTTAAGTAATTTACATAGCATAACATAAATGATAACTCCTATTTTGTAATTTATGATTAAGTCCTACAGTTTGCATGAATATCCTCTACTTCATAATCAAGGTAGGGGTGTGTGGATGTGCGGTCATGCTCTTCTCTCTCCTAGCTAGAAAGTTATTTAAATATGAAATATGGGACATTGATATATGCGTCCATAATCCAATGATTGCTTAGATAGATCATCTTCTTCCTTCCAAATTTCCTATTTTGCATGATGCATTTCTTCCTTTAGTTGTCTTTCTCTATCATCTTTAATTCCTCATTATATCTTATGATCTTCCTGAAACCTTTACCTTCTATTTTAAATGTACTAAGATTTTAATCTTTTTAATTTTTTGTTACATGTCTAACGCCCTTATAACAATTATCATATGAAACATTAAATCTAGTGCATCTCTTTGATGTAGGACAAACCTGAATGTTAGTTGAACTATAATTATGTTTCTTTTCTTTGTTTATATTTAGTCTTTATTTTAGTTACAATGGGAAATATTGTTATTTGTCAATTTAGTCCAATTACTTCTCTAATATGTTTCAAAATTGTCCCATGTTAGATTATTTTGGATCAAAATTGAGTAGTCAAGATACTATTTTGGATTAAATGGATCAGATTTGTTGAGTAAATGTTCTAAATCGAACTCATAAGACAATATAAGATTTAAACGCCCTTCTATAAGTAGTCCATGAACCATTTTAACCTTTCTGTCAAACTTTTTTTATGTGTCTTTCTTTCATGTGGTATGAGAGATCAACTTTATCCCCATAATTGTCATCGATAACACAACAAGATTATGATTTACATCATAATGAACATCATTTTCAAGGCATCAATGAGACTCTTAATGGAATGCAGTTCCAATTTTCTATTAGTAAACTGTCAACCCCCACATGAATGGAATCTTTTTCAAAAAACTGAAAAAAAAAGAATGTCTAAAGCTTGAATTTTATCATACATTCAAGGAATTTTCATTGTGCCTTCCAGACCATGTTTGGAATCTATGCAATTCTAGGGAAAATTATAATTACATTAATTTGAAAGTTTAGAAAACATTCCCTAAGAATTCATACCCAATTTCCATGTTGTCAGAACCTGCTAGATTTCCTTCTCTATGCCACTCTGTGGGATGAGTTTTTCCTTTGTTTTCCCTTCTATTTTCTCTTTTCCTTGCTATATCTCATGAGCATTAATTCCCTATTTTCATCTACTTTTGTGGCCAACTGTTGGACCCTTTGTTAGTGTTGTAATTGCTTGCTAATAATCTAAAACTGCATATTGTTGTCACATGATCCTTTTTGTGCCTAGCAGATCTTCCTTTTTTGGGGCATTTTTCAACACTTCCCTCAAATTAGTTAGTGGAGATATATCATTTCCAATTTTTTAATGTAGGATTGCAAAGTCCTTTGATGAATAGATCATGAAATGACTTGTTGTTGAGGCATATGGAGTGTGAGTCAATGCACTCGTTATTATTATTTTTTTTTTCATTTTTATGAAGTGTCTATTCCACGTCCATGTGTTTGATTCATCCATGTTTGATTTTTAGCCACAGAAGTTGATGTGCTTCTTCAGCAACTACTCTAAATATAGGTGTTTTTGTAGTTGTTGTTGTATGTCTTTGACATGGGTGACACGTGTCGGATGTATCATGTCCAATATTTGTCATACACTGCATGCTTCTTTGAGGAAAGTGTCCATGCATCATAGATGTGAACCCTCATCTCTTGAATCCTGATTTCTTAAAATGATATTATTATTAAATTACTAATCTTTAGATTTGACAATTAAATTCCTGCTTAATTATATGAGTTATCGATTTATTTTATCTAAACTATATGATTTAGAATTTTTGTCATCTTTCTTTTTTAATTATGTATTTCTTCCATTTAAATATATCAATTTGTATTTAATGCATTCCCCTATATTATTACTTATTCATTTAAATTTAATATTTAATTTAATGTTTAATAATCTTTTTTTATTTCATTCAAATTTCTTTACTTTGCTCTTTTTTAATTTTTTATTTAAATTACAACATTGTATATTTTTTTTTCTTAATTATTTCTATAATATTAAGACATGCTCTTTGCATCAAAATTAGTTTCAATTAAAACTCACATTTTTAAATTATATTCCTAATTAAACAATTAAATTATTTTCATTTAGACAAAGTTGTATTTGGTACTATTTTAAATTTTGAATATGCAAATTTTATGTTGATTTGCTTTTCTTCTTTTCATGCAAAATATCCTTACTAAATTTTTGTAAGTCATTAAAACTTAAACCTATGGTTTCTTAATAAAATCTAGATTTTGAGAGTAATCAAAACCCCTGTCTTGTTTGACTCGTGCGGTATCCATCAATCAATTGCTCGCTCGATTTCTTTGAGGGTCAAATGCCTTTATCTTCTCTCGCAACCACAAGTAGGTTCACTTGAGCCCCTTCTCTAAAGAGGGCACCTTTTTTTTGTTCTTCCTCTCTTGCTAATGCTCGCCCGTCCAATATTTTCTCATATTTTGTCTCGTTCTCAAGCTCTCTCTCTCTCTCTCCATTGCTTACTTTCCCTCAACAACTTGCTCTCTCTCCGCCTCACTCTCTATCTCTCACTTCAGTCCCTCGCAACCATGCTTTCTCTATGTTTCTTTGCTCGATTCCTCTTCTTCTTTATTTCACTATACCAATGTTTAAAATTGCGTATTCGGGTATTGAGGCGTTTTTCATTCGTGAGGCGAGGCGTAAGCCTTAAGACGTTTTGAGGCGTAAGCCTCAAAATCAAAAGATTGCGTTAACATAAAATGATAAATTTTTTATATACTAATGAGTGAATAATATAAAACATAAAAAAACATAAGATATGAAGTGAAATCAAAATATCTCAATAATAAGACAACATGAAATATAGTTCAACTCAAAATTCTATCTTTCCCAAATCCCAGTATTCTTTTCATTAACATATAACTCCAATTTCCAAAAATAAATAGCAATGACATATCACATAAGAACTCATAAGTCATCAGCACTGTCATCACTAAGGGGTTTCTTCATTTGAATCATCATTATGGTGAACTGCTCTCTCCCCTTACTCCTCTCCTATAGAGTCCAATGTCGGACATTTACTTCAAGATTTATGTAAGTGTTAATATATATATATAGCGTGAGGCGTAAGCCTCATGCTAGTGAGGCGAGGCGGGCCTCAACCAAGTTGAGGAGCAAGTCTCATAAAAAAAACTCAAGGCGTAAGCATCGAGGCGCTTTTTACTAGAATTGCGCAAAGGCGGGCCTCGAGGCGAGCCTCATATTGCGCAATTTTAAACCATGCACTATACAACTGATGAGGAGTCGGTTTGCTGGAACCAATTAGTGCCGGGTTATCTCTTTTTATTTAATAATGGTATTTTATAGTCTTCCCAACTTATGTGTATTTCATCATTGAAATTTACATAATTTAATGAAATTTTGAGTCTTTACATAAACCATTTGATGTCGAAATATATAGATAGATAGATAGAGAGAGAGAGATTAATAACTTATTATTAATAAAGCAACTGACATATTGCCTGTTTAGTTGAGTGCAAAGTTCCTGTAAAGAATTTGCACACAGAATTAATTTTATAGCGTTTGATTGAAGTTAGCTAGTTCCTTCAAAAATCTTAAGTAAATGCACCCCAATTGACCACATTTATCTTACATGCATTTACTTTTAGATAGCATTCCAGTTACACAAAACCAACAGCCTACAGGTTTGTCGAGTTTAATATATCTCTCAATAAAGTCAAAATTAAAATCAAATGAATTTTAAGTATAGAATGATGTAATATTTTTACACATCAATGGATGAGTTCTTTTCGACTCTAGATCACCTCTTCAAGAATAGAGAAGCGTTGAGACAGTAAGACTGAATATTTTGAAGCATGAGATTTTTGCAAGGGTGAAGCTTATGATTCTTTTTTGCTTCACCTAAATTACTCGAGCCCATACATATGCAAGCTATTATAGAGGGCTAATGAGGATGATTGGTGGCTAAAATGAGAGGAAAAATATCTCTTTCGCTTCCCTCTGTTAATGTTCAAACCAGGGTTTGGGTCAATTCTTCTACTTCCCAAGGATCA